ATATGCCAATTTCTTGAAATCATCCAAATACATACATTTCTCACTCCTTGAAAACATGGAACAACTCTCATTTTTTTTTCAAATTCTTTATTAGTTCAAACAATAATTTAGTTTTACATACTGAAAATTAAATAAGGGTAAATTAGGAAAGATCTTGACAAAAATTAATTTTTCAATGACATTAATGAAGCTTTCTTAATCTGTGCGAAAAATGAAACAATCATATATAATTGAGATGGAGAGAGTATATAATTTTTAACTTAGACAATTGCAATAAAATCCTTAAACTAACTACTTAGTCATGTCTTATGCATGTTTCTTTAATTGAAGGTCCAAAAAATAAAATAAAAAGGTTGTCTTGATTCAGCTTATCGAGGGCATGTGACTTAGAATGAAGGTATCTCAGGTTTAACCTGTAATACAACTTGGATTTTTAAGCCACAGATTGTCACTTCTTCTGACAGAATTCTCTGCTGTATTGGAATTCAAGTTTTTTTTTCTATGCACAATGCTTTTGTCTTCATCAATCTTGATTCCTCCGTGAAATGTGCTATCTCTGTTTTAAATTTTAAGAGTAAAAATAAATATTTCTTTATTACAAATATATAAAAAAACTACTTTTGCCTCTACAGCTAGTATGTTATATACCAAATCTTGAAAGGAAAATGATTCAAATACAGAGAATTTTTACCAGAATTGGACCATATTTTTGAATTCCAACTCACAGGTAGTGAACCTCATGTATAAAATATTGAAAAAAAAAAAATTTCCCCTCAAATGTTGTGTGTAGTCTGTAGGTACAGGAATTTGAATTCCTGTACCTATAGCAAAGTCCATCTTGAAAATCTCTACGAATATACGAATCTATTGATGTCTTTTCGTTAATAACATTTTCCTTAAAATTATATGTCAAGCACTAAATTATTTGACGAGATAATCCAGGAATGTCACTAATAGAACTTGATTAACTGTCACTTGTTTAAACTAAAAATTATTTTAATATTAGTAAAGAATATTCTTTCTATCCCTTGCTAAAATTATTTTACAATTAAAATTAAAATCAGCAACAATGGGCGACTTGGATTCAAGTTTTAAAAATGTTTTTTTGTTGGTTTGCAAATTTAAGACGAATGTTTTTCATTTACGATCATCAGATTAGGTTTTCACAAACATATTATTGTTGGCTTGTTGCTGCTTATGCTCTCTAATAATAATAATAATTTTTTTTTTTTTCACTGAAGGCCCTCGTTTGTGGAGACCTAGCAAAATCATATACTTAATTTACATTACACGTTAATAATATAATATTTAGTTACTTATAAATTAAAGGTATATAAAATTCTCAAGTATTCATTTCTCAATTAAGTTTCCAATTGATGTCACAACTGTTGAGAATTCATGTAGAGCGAAAAATTAAATTTTTTTCAATTCCCACCAAATATTTTCTTATATTTGAAAAAAAATGTAATAGGAATTATACATTTTGTAAATTTTGCAAACTCATTTACTGATCTTGGAATATAAATAATCACAATTTGTAATCACAACTATCTAATTGTCTAGCCTCCAACGAAAATCTACACAGGGAACAACATGAGATAATTATGGTTTCTATTTTCTTGTGCTAGCAAAATAATGAATTGTGTGTAATTCTAAAACCCTAATAGCTTATTAATATAAGTACAAGTGGACTTAACTTGCTTCTTAAACTTTGCCTGATCCAATATTTAATTAATTCAATCAATTAAATTTGGTTCATAAATTAATTAATCTAATTAATTAATTGTCCAACATTTGTTAATTTAGTAATTGGTGGATCTCATTCTTCTAGATCTCCTTTTGTGTGTAATCCATTAGGTTGATCACGATACCGAAAGACATGAATTATTATTTTGATATAATCAAAATCGATAAATTAAAATATCCCCTTTTAATTTATCATCAAATCATATTCATCGTCTCAAAATGATATCTAACAATGTGTCAGAATAATATATGTGACGAAAAATGTCACGTGGTATGATAAATTAAACTTATTCGTTTACCGTGGAACTATAATCCTTTTGTCAATATGATCTGATCAATTGTAATATATGAATATGTGTCAATTAATATCAATTATCGATTATATCTTTCATTCCACTATTAAGTCAATGTAAGTCAAAAACGCTTTTTCGACTTACTGACTGAATGAAATGTAAATCATAATCTCTTACTATTTAAGAGTGACGAATTTTCTATTGATCATTCACAACTTTCATATGATTTTTGACATACCTGAATGATGTCATATTATCAACCTTTAACAGAACAACATTCAATATCATCAAAGTATGAATATACTCATATAATGCCCTGTGATGACTTCAAATCGAATGAGACTGAAGTATGTTAAAGGGAAAAAATTAAATTAATAATAAAACTAATTTCTTGTGATCATTAATGACAATGTTTATAGATCTTTCAAAAAACTTAATAATAACCCGAAAAAGAATTTACTCGTAGTTTACTTCTATTTATGAAGAAAAAACTGAGCAATGTGAAAGTGTATAAGAGGAGTTGAGGAAATGCCACAAAAGTTAAAAAAGACAAAAGGGAAGAAATGTTAGAATTATCTTACAAGACATTTTTATCAGTTAAATCACACAATCTCAGTTTTGTGTCTAATTTCAATCAACCCCAGACCGTATGACAAGGTTTTTTCATGACCCATTTTTTTGAATTTTCAAAACAATCTTGTCTTCGCCCTTACAAGAAATTACAAAATTATATTAATGATGATACATATGGACTAGTTGAAGAATAAGGTCAAAATAAACAAACATTATTTGCATGAAACAGCCAAAATTAGGGTGTCCAACACCCCACCTTCCTCCCCCTAATTAACTTGGCCAAAATTTGCTCATTTTCATAATTTCCATCCCATTAAAGAAGCTGATCAGCAAACTTAACCAGATTATTATTATTTTTTTATTTTTGAATGGAGAAAGTTGGATATTGTACGTGGGCTGCGGCTGAGTCGAAGCGAAAATGTGAGTTGAGTTCTCATGTTCTTGCACCGGCTGCCACTGCGGCTTCACACGGCGATTCATGGGAAGAACAAGCTTTTGCAGAAGATGCATCTGGACTTCTTGGAGGGTGTATATGGCCTCCCAGATCTTATAATTGCAGGTTTTGTAGAAGAGAGTTCAGGTCAGCTCAAGCCCTAGGTGGTCACATGAATGTCCACAGAAGGGATAGAGCTAGACTAAGGCAGTCCCCAGTTCCACAAACTTATGAACTAGCTCTAAATCCTTGCCAATCTTTTGAAGTTCATGAATATCCATCTCAATCTGATCAGATTTATACCTTCGTTTACAACCCAGCCAATTCTGATCCTGATCCTAATAGGGTTTCAGATCAAAACCAGAAAGTGAGTTCTAAAAAAAGGGTTTCTTCCCATGGTTCATTTTTGCCAATAATTCAAGAACACCACCACAAGAACATGGTGTCACTATCCCCTCCTTCCTCGTCCAGGAAGAAACCAAAGATCTCAGAATCCAGTAATAGGGCTAAAGAAGATTATCAGGCCTTGGATTTGTCTGAGAGCTTGAATCCAACTCGAACAAATGCATCCAGCGATGAAGAAGTTGCAAGTTGCAAAAGAAGGAAAGTAGACGCAAATCCATTGATTTTCTTCCAAAAACTGAGTCCAATACTTGATAGATGTCATCCCCAATCAGAGATGCATAAACTGTGTTCTAGCTCTACGGAGGAATTGGATCTGGAGCTACGGCTTGGTGTGAAGTAAAACCTGAAAAATGGTACATACAAATCACTTTGAATTTGTTCATTTCAGCTGGAAAGTCTATCTCCTCAATATCTTCTTTTAGTTTGATCAGTTGCCAAGGCCTCTTTGGATGAATATTATCAATATAATTAACATTTCTCCCTTCAAGTTCTTGCCGAATTTTCCATGTTTTCCTCAAATACAAATTGGGATTAATCTCCGTTTCCGTGATCTCGGTAGTAAAAATTAGGATTGATAGAGTAGAATTAAAATTGCCTGCTATTAAAGATCAGTTATTTTATATCTACTACATCTAGCTGACCCCTCGAATTCATTGAGAATAAGGTCTTAGTTGTTCTTCTTGTTGTAATCTCTATACATGTGTCGATATTATTAGTGTAATTTCTCGAATGTATATCATATCTATTTTTTCAAATTCTAGTTTAAGACAATGAAATTGGATTTTGTATTGGAGACTTCATTGCAAGAATAATATCAATGGAGAAGGGACCTCTCCTTCATGCCCAGAGTACAGCAGTCGATAGTTTTAAAGCTTGGAAAAAGTGTTAAGCTTTGTCCTTCAAAACATGTGTCATTCCTTTGGTGAAGAAAATGAATCCGACTTGCACGTGAGATAGCATTTTGATGATTTGAAGGACCCGTCTAACGTCTAAGCTCTTAGATGATGTGATATATGTTTTCTTTGGACCTTAGGTGAAGAACTTTTCTCCCCTCTTTCATTAAGTTGGGGATTGTTATACGTGGAATGAGAAATCAATAATCTGAAGTTAGGGTGTGTTTGAGCTACATTATTTTGGAAAAATGTATTTTGGAATAGTAGATTGATGAAGAGTGTGACAGTGTGTGGTTGAAAAAGAAAGAAATGTTATTGATGTGATGTAAAATATTATTTATTGAAAAATGTGTGGTTGAAAATGAGAATGAAAATTTTAATGTGACTCAAATAGGAGCTTAAGAGTATAACAATGTGGTTACAATCAAACATATTGCATAGGAGGCAGGCTATTTGAGATTCAGGACTGACTAAAGGCTCGTTTGACAAGGTTTTTGAAAAGTTAAAAGCTGAATTTTTTTTGAAATTAAAAAGTTGATTTTGAATATGTTTGGATAATTTTTTAAAAATACTTTATCCGATTAGAAGAGTTTTTTTAGAGAAAGTTGACCAAATACATTGAATCGTGATGAAACTCTTTTATGAGAAACAGAAGCGAAAGTACCGTTAAATGAACCCTAAAAACTGCATGGATCCATGGTGTAAAGCACGTTCTCCCATTCAGTATTACTGACGCTATTTGTATTCATTCTAAACTAAAAAAAAAGGGATACATACGGAGGCAGATGGAGTTTCAAGAAAAAGCAGAGTAAGTCCGATACAAGATAACATGGATTCCCTTTTTCTTTGTATTATTACATGCCTTGTCATGAGATCAATTATAATAAACTATACCCTTCCTCGCATAAATCCATACACTTGTGTTTTCTTCTTTCACTTTGTTTCTGTTTCTCAATCCTTCCAAAATTGCCACCAACTACAAGGAATCAATGCATTTAAGTACTACAAGTATACTGTTTTTTATTCACTCAAAAGAATATTATTGCATCACCATTAACTACACATCTTTTGTTTGTTCCTTTGTGTGTCTTCTAATGCTCCGTTTGATAGGATTCAGGGACGGATGTGGGGGGATTGGGCCAGGCCCCAGCCCACTGAATTTTTTAGGTAGAAAAAAAAAATATGTAAAAAATAATAATAATTTCATGTGTAATTTTAATTTATTTTTACGTATTAGCCCGACATGTAATATGATTCTGAATCCGTTCCTGACTGGATTTATGCCTTTTCTTGTACTTGTAAAAGAGCTTTTTAAATAAATTGCATCAGGCCAAACGGGCCTTGAGCATTACTTATTTCTAATTTTCTAGGCATCTTCTGAACATGAGAAGAAAGAATGAAGAATGTAGAGTGAGGAATTTACTAAGAATAATCAATGGCACTCATGCAACCCTAGCCCAAACAAGGCATTGCACTAAGGTCAAAGAGTAAGTTTTGTTGATAAAAAGTAACTTATAAGTAATTTTAGTTTAAACTTAGCCTAAAATGCTCCTTATTTGTAATTTGATTTTGATTTCAGCCAGGAATTGTTCTAAACTCCTGTCACGAAATGTTAATCGTAGTACTGGTACCGATTCATAGGTTGATTTTAGGCTAAGTTTAAACTAAAATTACTTAAAAGTTACTTAAAAAAAAGTTTATGATAATTATTTATTAAAGTTTAAATAATTACGTAGCAAGGGATTTCCTTATGTGCTATAGTGATAGATATCAAATTATTGTCAAGCGCCCTAAGTTATATGAATCATTTATTGTCAAGATAATCAACATTTATTGTTACTATTTAGCAATGAATTCTAGATCGTCATGGATTAATTTTTTATTCATTAATGCACCTTTTCTAGTGGCTGCGGGCACTATAAACTTATGAGTCTTTCAGTCCTTCTGACTTTTCGTGTCGAGATGAGAATGAAAGGGATTAGCGTTGAGAAAGTGAGATTCCAATCAAAATTTATTGTTACTACTAGATGATCAAGGATGAATTTTTCAGATATGGTTGCAATTTTTTCTAGTGGTCACGGGCCTGCAACATATGGAGAAACTAAAAAATTATAAGGGTGTGTCTGGTCCGGATTCA